AAAAAAAAATATGTATATATATAATGAGAGTCCACAGAGAAATTTTGACGCTGAAATGAGCTATATTTGACCCTTGTTTGGTTCATATCTCTGTCAAACGTCAGTAAATCGAGCTGAAAATTTTACCACAGCCTTCTCACTTCAGCCCCAACATATGCTCCAAATTTCAGTCCATTTGAACGTACCTGGGCTGAGATTGATTTTTGAGAGGGGGGGGGGGGCTTAAATGAAGTATTAGTTCAAGTTCGACAACAAATCGGACGATTTGAGATTCATTGTCCAGAAATATTTTGTATTGATGATGATGATAATGATACTGAGCGATTTAAAAAAAGGCAAATGGTAACGCCTAGTGTTAAATATTTTTTACTTGATGTTGGTAATTATCGTTCAACATCGACAAACAGTCATCTTCAACACTACAAATCACGTTTCTTTAGGGTGTGGGTGTGGGTGTGTGGGTGTGGGTGTGGGTGTGGGTGTGTGGGTGTGGGTGTGGGTGTGGGGTGTGAGTGTGGGTTTGGGTGTTGGTGTGGGTGGTGTGAGTGTGGGTGTGGGTGTGGGTGTAGGGGTGTGGGTGTGGAGTGTGGGTGTAAGTGAACACAAGGTAGTAACAGCACCCACACCCATTAATTCAAATTGATATGTGTCATATAGGTGAACTTGATACTCAAGCAGAATAGTTTCAGGCTCATATAGCTATTGAAGTATCATGATATTTGAAATTGATTGATGATTATAATAATAAAATATTTTCTTCTCTTTCAATTGATAATCAAACTAAAAATCTAAACTTTTGTAATAAAGTCAAAGGTATTACTTTCAAAGAATATTTATGAACTTCATCTTTATGAAACAAAACTTACTGGTCTTTTCTTTCAAATATAAAAAAATTACTAGACTAAGCTTGATTAATAATGGACTTGTACGCAAATCTTAAGTGATCATGGCTTTTGGGATAGCCAGTACATACATAAAAAATTGACTCGTTAGCTATTAACAGATAAAAGTATATGTTTATCGAATGATCAACTTTCTTGAGTTATCCAAACAAGTCGCAAATTTGATAACAATCGTTTTAAATTTATTGTTCACATTGTGTTTTTCCTTGAAAATAAATTTAAACGAGCTTCTAAGCACATTCATGCACTTACATATTTCATAATAGTTCTAAGCAATTCTCTATATTTCCTCGTACCTCTCTGTACTTCTAGGTACTTCTCTGTACTTGAGGGTGTGGGTGTGGGTGTGGTGGGTGTGGCTGGGTGTGGGTGTGGGTGTGAGGGTGTGGGTGTGGGTGGGTGTGTGGGTGTGGGTATGGGTGGGTGTGGGTGTGGGTGGGTGTGGGTGTGGGGGTGTGGGTGTGTGGGTGTGGGTGTGGGTGTGTGGGTGTGGGTGTGGGTGTGAGTGTGGGTGTAGGTGTGGGTGTGGGTGGGTGTGGGCGTGCGTGTTGGTAGGTGTGGGTGGGTATTGATGGCGGTGGGGTGTGGGTGTGGGTGTGAATGATGGAAATACCCACACTCTACACTCAAAGCCACACCCACACTCACATCTGCACGAGCACCTACTCACCCACACCCTCAGCGACATCCACACGCACAAACACACCCATCCCCCACCCACACACTCCACCCACATTCACCAGTCGCACCCACATCCACACTCATACTCCTCAGCCACATCCAAACCAGGTCATTACAAAAGAGATTATTTAACAAATACAAAGGAATATATAAAAGTAATAAAAAATTTTCATTGACGTCAATCTTTTATTGACAATGAAATTGATATTTTATTTTCATGTAAAGCACGTTCCATCATTAATATAGGTTTTTATCAATGATCATCTCTCCGGGTCACGTTCTTTTTTCAAAAAACAACATTGTTTTCAAATTAAAAGAATTTATCTGTTTAAAAAAAATTTACTTATCGATATTACAAGTTAATAGAATTAAGTTCAAAAAGTTTAAAAATAAAATGATTGAATTTATTCAGAATCAAAATTGATAACTAACTGTTTTTTTTTATTATTTTGGGAGGAAATCTCAATGAGATAAATATATATTTTTCGTTATTTGATGTCTATAGAAGTCAAAGAGAAAAAGAGAGAAAAAAATCATCGAGTAATGCCAGTTGTTTTCATCGAGCAAGGATATCTTGTCACTGTTTACCACAAGCTGCATTTTTTTCTCATCAATTATTAAAATTGGTAAAGAAATTTTATTCAATGTTTATCATGAATAAGTTCAACAGTTTCATCATTATTTTCATCATTATTATCAACAAATTATCAGGTAAATACTTTTATTTCTCTCAAATCGAGAGGTTTTCATCCAAAAACTCCAATATCTTTCAGAATGTCGAAAGGATTTAATTGTCCATAAGGAAGTTGACAGCTGCGCGTAAGGACACAAACCCGTGAGGAAAGGCAGAATGCAAGGATATTTTCCGGAAGAGAAAATTTCCCTCCTAATCTTATGCGTTTGAGATAAGATTTTCTTTTTTAAAAATAAATACTGCATCGAGTTTATTCATTAGAGTTTTCTTTAAACTCAATTTCAATTTCTTTGTCGCATTATAGCGCTTTCATTTAATCAACCAAAATTTTGTCCAACACCAGTTTGGAATCCAAATGGAATTACTTTTGCTAATCGAACGACAGTTGATGAAGATCCCATCAACATTTTTGTTGATACGAACAACACAGTTTATATCACTAGTGGTCAAAGTAATAAAATTTTTGTGTGGTTTAATGATAGTATCCATCCAACAAAAATCATTTCTGGCGATTTCTCAACTCCAGAGTCTATCTTTGTTACAAACAATGCGGATATTTTTATTGCTAATGGTGTATCGGAGTATCGAGTTGATAAATGGATTTCAAATACAAATACCACTGTGACTGTTATGAACACTATTGAATACTGTCTCAGTATTTTTGTCGATATAAATGATACTTTATACTGTTCAATGAAAGAGTATCACCAAGTTGTGAAAAGATGGTTGAATGAGAATTTGACGACAACAACTGTTGTTGCTGCTGGGACAGGTTTCTGGGGATCTGGCTCAAATGAGCTTCAACATCCTTTTGGAATCTTTGTTGATGTGAACTTTGATTTATATGTGGCAGATTGTGGAAATGATCGAATTCAACTCTTTCAATCAGGACAATTGAATGGCACGACAGTCGTAGGAGTTAGCTCATCAAATCCAACAATTTCACTTAGTCGCCCAAGTGGAATTGTATTAGATGCTGACAAGTATTTATTCATTGTGGATAGTGACAACCATCGCATTATTAGATCAGGACCAAATGGTTTTCAATGTGTAGTTGGATGCAGTGAACGTGGTTCACAATCCAATCAATTATTGATGCCGAAAACTTTGAGTTTCGATAGCTATGGAAACATGTTTGTTAGCGATGTGGAAAATAAACGAATTCAAAAATATTTATTTTTAGAAAAATGTTGTGGTAAGTTAAAAGTAGTTTAACGAAACGAATAATTTTAATCTTTGAGTTCGGGACTATTTTTATGTATTAAAAATTGTCAAAAGATATGGACTGGAATGGTTATTTTCTGTCCCAAAATGTTGTTACCTTTTAACCTTCTAAAAAGTGTCAGAAGGTTATTTGAAGAGTTTTTCTACCACTTAGCTTCACACCATTGCCTAGTCACATATTTCTCTCTGTGGTCTTCCAGAGATCTAAATTTTTTTTTCCCTCAAATATTCTCAGAAGCATTTCATTTATATGCGACTTTACGCGCTGGTTACCAATATGGTATTTACGTTTCGATTGAGTTAAGTTTTGTGTATGAAAAGCGCACTTTATCGCTAAATGGACTATAATGCCACTTTCCCATGTATTAGCCCATTTATATATGAAAAGATTGTTCC